AGGGAAGATATGGGGGGGGGAAAGAAAAGAAAATTTTTTATTTGGTTGAAAATTTATGTAAATGAAATAAGTTGGAGAGTTAATAATAAAGTTAATTTGTTTGAGTAATTAGAATAGGAGGAGGGGGGATGGAGGAGATAGAAGGAAACAAGGATTGTGGTGAGGGGGAGGGGGGAGGTGGTGGGCATGGGAGTAGGCCGGGTGGTGGGGGGGTTGGTGTTGGGGCATGAGGAGGGTTGATAAGCAGGTGTTTTCTGGAATGTAGCGAGGATTTAAGATAGAAGGCGAAAGATGTCAAACTGGTTGCTTGTAGAGAGGCGCTTGATGTTTTGTGATTAAATTGTTCAGGGTGTGTATATATGCTTCTTGTGTATGTTGTTGTTCATTGCCAATCTAACCTGGCGAGAGCGAGCTACATTAGGGGGGGGGATGATTAACACTACACCTAAAAAGTTCAATAGATGGCTTAGGTTAGAATACCAGCTCACCCGTCGCTGTATGTTTATTGGACTACGCATACAATCTGAAACTACACCATTCATCATGCCCAAACGGCATGTACGTCGTGAAATACCTAAAGAAAAGTTCGTGTGATATTACACTGCTAGGCTGTTATGCCTCACGACTAGGGCGGGCACACTTGCCCCCAGAATATGTTATGACAAAAGGTAGTTGGTTCAAAGAACCGAGAGTGTATTCATGGGCTTGTTCCAATATTTGCTGCTACCTATCTTGGTGTTTATGATGCTCTTGAAACACAAGAGACTGGACACTTTTCTTTTGAACAACATGAGACGAAATGCTGGGACGACTTCAGGCCGTACAACAGAAGCGCACAAACATAACCTCGGGATGAGCAAGAATGGAAGGAACAATAAAGAAAGTTTCAAGGGCATCGTCTGCTCAAAGTAGCTCTCCCCACAAAAGCCAACCCAAGCACAAGATAATGTCATTCATATTCACCAATCACAAGCAGAGCAATATCATAAAAACAAATTCTACAGGCTACCATTTACTATCCCATATCTTCCACAGGATCAAGCCTTCCGTGTGTATTTTTTTCTTCTTCCCCAACCTTCAACCACCGGGCAAAAGATACCCTGCCCTCAGATTACTTTTTAAACAACAAAAAAAAAACACAAGTAATCCGCCCAAGTCCTTTCCCGTCTTTCCCACAACTCAAGGCTTAGAACTCGCCATGGTATATCTAAGCAATCCTGTTTCAAGGTGATGTCCAACCTGCAACAGAAGCAACAAAACCCAGCCAGTACTGTTAACAGCAACACAAAAACCAAACGCTATGTCCATGCCCGATTCTAACAAAAAACACCTTAATGCTCAAGCAGACGCAAGCTACCCTGGACGACAACGTTCTCGAGGATGGATCCTGGGGGAATGTCGATGGTCTGACCCTCTGTCGCCACAATGATGACGGTACCCTTGAGGACGACACCGCGACCAAGGTTGACCGCACCGGTGATGGTGAGGTGGTCAAGCTCAATGATCTTGGGGATGCTGGGGATGCGCTTCTGGAAGTCGGACACCTTCTTGAAGTCACCACCGAGCTTGATCAGAGGAGCATCACCGAAGCGGGCTGTGCTCATCTGGAGCTGGCCGTGCTTGACGGTGTAGAGATCAGACTTGACAAGCATCAGATCAGAGCAAGTCTTGACGGGCAAGAAGCGGCGACGGGGAACGTTGACACCGTGGGCGTTCTTGAAGTGCTTGATGGCAGCACCAACAGCGGTCTCCAGCTGGAGAATGCTAATGTCCGACTCGCCCTTCTTATCACCGGGGATGGTCTTGCCGTTGGGGATGATCTCCATCTCGAGCTCGTTATTCTCGACGACGCGCTTGATGGCCTTGACGTTCATCCAGATGTTGTTGGTGTTGAAGTACTTGAACTTCTTGATGGACTTGAACTCGTTGACATGCTCCTTGGGGACCTGGGCGATTTCGAGAAGGCGGACGCTGCCCTCGTAGTCAATGATGGTACCACCCTTGACATCGGCCTTGGTCTTGTTGGTCAACTCCATGATGTACTCGGCTTCGCTCTCAACCATGTGCTGGAGAATGCGGAGATCAACAACGGCGCCGAGGTTGTCAGCGTTGGAAAGGAAGATGATCTCGATGCCACGGTCGATGAGCTGGTCAAGAACACCAGAGTTGTAGAGGGACTCGAAAACGTCACCGTGTCCGGGAGGATACCAGTCATGGAGAGCAGAGTCAAAGGACTTGGGGACTGGGAGGAGGGAGTCCTTGAAGATTCTGGGGTACCTCGACTGGTTAAAGGTAAGAATGTCGACGTTATGACCCTCATACTTCTTGATAATCGCCGCGGTATCATCGTGGGTGTTGAAAGAGTTCATGAGGAGAATGGGGACGTTGGAGCCGTAGCTGCGGTTGAGGTGCTCGACCTGGCGGACGGACATGTCAAGGAAAGACATGCCATCACGGACCTCGATGACCGACTTGGGACCAACGCAACCCATGGAGGTACCGAGACCACCGTTGAGCTTGAGAACAGCAAGCTTGTTGAGGAAGCCAACAGACTCGGAGTGGGCCAAGTCCTCGTAATCGACGACCTGGCCAGCAGCGGGAGGAGCAATGCGGTCCCACGAGCTATTATTTCCTGTCAGCCACATGACCTTTGTTCAGCCAATTCTGAGGAACACATACACCTCGTTGCCCTTAGCCTTGTCATTGAGATAGCGGCGGAACAAGGAGAAGAAGTTGTCCATCTCGGTCTCGAACAGCTTCTTCTCCTTGGGGTCCTTCACGGTCTCGGCGAGGTTGGTGAGAGCATTGCGCATCTGGGCAGCAGCAATGTTGGTCGAGGTGTTCTCGAAAGCCTGGTGGAAAATTGCGGGTTAGTCTGACGTCATTGAAGCCATTGTGCCAGTGCATGGCAAAAAGAAACCCATTAATGCTGTTGTTGTCCCCTCGACGGACAGCGCCGGTCCCATATTGTCCACAGCGGTATTCTCTCGGAGTTATTACGGATAGATTGTTCGTGCACAGCTTGTCCAACAGTTGGGATCCTGTCTTGGGAAGGGCCCGGAGATTGCGCCGTTGGAGCAGCTCCACCTTTCGAGTCGGACAACAAGGCAGTTCGGGAGACAGAGCGGGTGACCGGGCCGTGTTCTTTTTCGGTGATGATGTTGGTGAACCCGTGACAGGCGGATGATGCACGTCACAGAAGCAGTTGCTCGCTTGTGCCACGGGCTGGAGCAAGCCGTGGTCCTGCTCGGATCCTCCTTTGTTGGGGAGCGGCACCGACTCTGCAGAACCCGTCCTCGCACTCGTCCAAGAGAACAACACACCAGCAGAAGGGATGGGAATAGGAGATGTGCAAAAACTAACCATGTGGGAACGAGTCTTGCCATGATGTCTCTTGGCAAACTCCTGCTCGTCGCCGTTGCCGGGCTTGAGGTGGGATGGGAGAGCGCTCTTAATCGCCTGTGCCATTTTCGCCGTGTGATTGGTGAAGATGCTTTGGGCGGACTGGAAGAATGGAAGAGCTATGTTGGCGGTGAGAAGAGGAAAAGAGAAAAAGTGGTTTGGTTGAAGAGGTGTTGGGAGGAAGTTCGATGACGATGGAGGGGGAAGTTACAGATGTAGTAGCTGTTGGGCAGGTGCTGTTTTACGAGATAAATTAGCCAGTTGACGTAATAAAAGGAGTTGACAGGCCTTGAAATAGGAGCAGGATCAACCTGGATAGACCCTCTTTCCTGCAGTGGAACTGGCGAATTGCAAGCAATCACATGGGGAAGGGGGTGGAAGCTCGAGATGAACAGATCCAGATGAGGGCGGGGGGGGGGAAGAGGGGGAGGGGTTCCCAACATCCAGGTAGCTCCAACTTTCAAGTAACCTGGAAGACGTACCTGTAACTATTCTCAAGCTTGCAGCAGCTCCGACGGTTCACAGTGGTTTGAACCTTGAGGATGGACGGATGGAAAGAGAAGAAGGACGTGGAATGCAGAGCTCAAGAGGGTGCCCCTGAATCTTGAAGGTTTTAATACCTGAGTAGTAGGTGGTGAGTTACGAATGTCGGCCAGGAGAAGCATTGGGCCATAGCAGCTCAATCGGGCAAAAAGTTATTGTTAGTGCATCAGGTACCCGAACTGCCGCTCCTGTCAGACGAGGATCACTTCTGCGAGTGGCGTCACCACAGGCAGGGGCATCTTGATACCACAACTGACCACCCACCACCAGCTGAGCTTCGAGTTTTCCGCCAATTCTCACGGCACGGAACCCAATGGTAGGTGCAGGAGCTTTGCAGCTCTTCAACGTTGCTGCACTGTTTGATCCGTGTCACGGTGACATGTTGTCTGATTTCTGAAGCGCAACTCCCGCGCCGGAAATCGCGGGGTACTAACTAGGCTTCGATACTTATGGAGCCTACCTATAGAATTGATGCCGTCACAGTAACCTGTTGACTGGTCCTGCTGTTGACAGTTGCACAAAGAAATCAGAAAAACCATCCGGTGCTGAGATATCCTCCGATATATCAAGTCGCATGAAGACGCCGCCTTTTCAAAACTGAAGTGCTGAACAAGCCTCCTCCTTCCATCGACCAAGTCTGGATATGAATATTGGCCTGTGCCGCCTGGTACCCGATTCCTTAACAGCTGGGCCAAAACTACCCCTCTCCCACACGGTAGCATTTCCAGGGAGCCCCTGCTGGTTGCCATGGTGTCTGGCAAACCCGAGAACTAAAGCTTCAGCCCAACGGGAGCTAAAAACAGATGATGGGCTCGTTGTCATAACCCAAGTTCCACCAGCCCATCAACCGGGAAATTTGATGCCGTCCCGATCAGGAGTCGAGGCGCCTCAGTTATTCGCCAGGCAAACGGCGAGCGGGATGCTGCTTGGAATTGTTTTATTGCCATGTCGATATCTCTCCTATCTGGAGGGCGTTTTTTGTTTCTTTTTTTTGTTGGCGGGCTGTCGAGTAGATCCAGCCACTATCACGAGCTGTCAGATATAAAACACCACCACAAGATATCAGACCTCCTTCAGCTCTCCCAACTCGGCCCGTTATCGTCCAGAGCCCTTTGAGAGGGAGGGAATAAAGGCAACGTCGTATTTTCTGGAAAATATCGCATCTCGCCACGAAAATGACGGGCCAGCGTCCCTCGTTCCGAGCTCCACCAGGTTTTTATGAGAACGGTCGCTTCATGAGTTGACGGCTTCCAGATGCAAGGCATCAAGAAAGGAGGTGCAAGGCTGCCCAGCTGCTACCCCCAGCACTGCCGCAAAATGAATGGGTCCTAGAACAGATGCATGGAATCTCGGAATCTCGCGATCGCGCTCCGCCGATGAAGAAAGGGACCCACGTGGGGAAAGGAGCCAAGTTGTTTTGTCTCTCCTTTTCGACGAAGCGTGATATCGGTACCCGAGACATTTTCGTCAGTTTCTTGAGTGAGGGACATGATGAAAGTCATTGCCAGTTTTCGGTTGCCGTGTATCGTTATCTCTCCCAGTCATGACGATCGGGTCAATATATCTTTTGCAACATACAGAGGAAAAGCAAACAAGAAACAAACAGCAACCCGCCACGAAGCAAACGGCCCACTGGGTCCCCTCGCTTCGATGTCCCCTAGCCTCCAATGCTCCGGCCCAGTCCAGAGTGATCCAAGATCTTGGGACTATCGGACAGTGTCCAATCTGATGGGAACGGGCAGCTATTTGTGGTCTGCACTAGGCCGAGAAAACAATAGCCCCAGGCCGTAGATTTTTCTGGGAGCACCAGGGGGCTAAGACAGGTCTCGGTCCGGCCCCCTCGCTGTCTCTCGGTACGAGGGCCGGGATTGCCAAGCATGAAATGTCGGCCCCACTCGGCCGGAGATTCGCCGTCCACCCACTCTGCTCCGAGGTGTGAGCCCACTGGACTCCGCTCTTTCAGCTTCCGTTGTGTTGCGCCTGCCCTTTGCGATTGTCCCTGATCAGCCCATGCAAGCCACCCAGGCTGCAAGCCTCACGACGGACTTTCTTCAGCTGTCTGCATTCCTTCCGGGTTGTTGGGCCTCCCTACGGTATGTGGGGCACTGTAGGCCCAACGAATATCAGCAAGCCACTGCCGCCTGCATTTGAACTGGAGTCTATCGTTCGGGACCGACGACGATCAAGTCACTTCTGACAACCTCAAACACCGAGCCAATCGTATCTCACCTCTCCTTCTGCACCCACCTTGTCTCACTTCTCTCTTCTTCAACCTGTCGTCTCTTGCGTGTAAAACACTCCCCCCACCCCCACGAATCATGGGCAGCACATCTGATGATCCCCCAATGACATCCACCACCAACACCACCAACGGCGATGCTACCATCTCTTCCCCCAATGGCACCAACTCCTCAGAAGAACAATCCCGCAAAGATGAAGAAGACATCCCCTACTGGAACGTAAACGTCCCCCCCCATCTCCGCACTCAAACCTGCCCCTCCTACCTCCTCAACCTCAACCCAAAAGACCTCTCCATAATCTCTACCCCCGACTCCCACTACGAAATCGAATCCTGGCCCACGGTCCTCTCCAAGATCCGGTCGTACCGCCCCGACCTCTTCCAGCGCATCCCCTCGGACCTCCGCCGCTACCACGAGTTTTGTTATAATATCAAGCAGCGGTACGGGTCCGTCATGAACTTTATCCTCTCGCAGCGTCTCGGCTGGGAGCACCCCATCATCCCCAAGGGTGACGAGCCGTTTGAGTGTGAGGAGGATGTCAAGATACTCCGGAATGACTGGCCGTATGGTATAGATGGCAAGATTGTCCATTTGGTGGTGTGGGTCAAGTTTGAGCTCGAGGCCGAGGGGGAAAAGGGGGATTTGACGGAGAAAGAGACAAAGGTGGTGGGGGAGTGGGTGAGGAAGAAGTTTGTGGTGGAGGGGGGGTTGGAGGAGGGGAGGGTTGTTTGGTTCAGGAATTGGACCTGTTTGAAGTCTGTCAAGAGTGTGGAGCATTTTCATGTCATGCTGTTTGATCCAGACAAAGAGTTGGTGGATGGGTTGACGGGGGGGGATGTGCCGCTTTGTGAGAGGGTCAAGTTGAGTATATGAGAGAGGGTTGGTCAAGTTTTGGAGAGGAGGTGGGGTGTATGAGTAGGAGGTATACAGTACTCCTACTCAGTGGGGGCAACAGGACAGCATGTGTGAGGTTGGACAGACAGAGGCAGGGTTTACCTAATTTTTAGTATTCGATATCATCATTTCCTTTGGGGTTTTAGAAGGGGGGAGCCGCTAGACGACCTTGAGAATGGGACACTTTGAATTTCGGTGTTGAGATGTAAGATAGAGACGGAGGCTCAAATAGACTGGAGACAACTGCTTCAAGCATTGCTAGATGAACACTTTGATGCCGTACAACAAATCACCTATAATAATCCTGCACCACTCTCCTCACCTCCACAACCGGACACTCGGCCAACGGAACCGCAATCGGCTTCTCGATTTTTACTCTGACGGTGTAATCCTCCCCATTGACAAAAACCTCCTCCACCTTGTCAATCAAGTGCGCCCCCAACGCTTCCAACGTCTCGAATGATGACTCCTCCAGCGCCTATTTCACTCAATCAGCATTTCTATCCCATCCCCTTTTCTTTTTTTGCTTCATCTTTCACTCACCTTCACAACCGCCTTTTCAACCCTGACATACCTATCCCCCCTCACCTTGATCCCCTCAATCCCCACCGTAACAACCAACATCTGCCTCGCCTCCCGCTCGTTAGGGTTAACCCCGACCAACGTCGGCACTCCGAGTCTGGTGATCTCCATCCCTAGCGCGCGGGCGGTCATTTTTCCCGTGTTGTCAAACCCCGCGCTTGCGGTGAGACTCACACCCTCGCCGAGCAAGCTCGCTTTTGGGAGCGTCAGCTTCACACCCAGAAACCCGATCCTATCTAAACTCCCCCCCAAAAAAGGGGTTCCGTCCCCCCTGACACCATCGATAGACAATCCAGTGAGATGAACGAATATCTGGTTCAGCACCGAGATCGCATCCCCCTCGTCCTCCTCTGGAGAAGAAATGGCGGCTGTAGAATTAGGGCCGAAGTAAGTCTCTACAGTGTCGAGGAGTGCCTTTGATAAATTGCCGTAGTGGATCGTGTCCTCGCCTAGCTTGTCGGTTGCGGAGGCGGTTTCAAAGGGGGAGGTGAAACTGATCTCTGCCGAGAGGAGGAGGGGTTGGGGGCGGAGGGGGCGGTCCCAGGCGTCTGTGGCTGCGCGGAGGAGGGTGCTGGATAGGTTCTTGACTGAGACTGCTGCTGGGAGGAGGTCGGCGGTGGTGAGGGAGCGGAGGGCGGGGGTTGGGAGGAGGGGGATGGATGTGGGGGTTGACATTTTGGGGGGGTGGTGAAGGTGGGTGAGAAAGATATGGTGCTAGTTGGTGGGGGGGTGGTGAAAGTACTTTAACGAAACAGTGACTGAGTGGGTTGTTAAGAGGTGTGAGTGAGGTGTGAGTGAGGTGTGAGTGAGGGCGAGACTGTTGTGGTGTTGCGGGGTACCTATCTCTGTAATTGTGAGTCAAGCGAATTCAGAGGGTTTATCAGAGAAAACTTACCTTGAAAATAATCTCAGGGCCGATGTGAAGAAAGAGAACCTGAATGACACAACTTTCAAGTCTTCGTCAAAATGGAAGGTGAGAAAATCGTATGACGCAATCTTGTCAACGTGGAGGGGTGTGGAAGAGTGAGTGAGGGTGAGAGAGGATGGATGGAGGGGTCGTCGCTGATAAGAGAAATCCCCTGAATGGCGATAAGAACAACATTTATGGTCCAACACCAGCTCTCTTTCCACAACCTGAACCCTCTTTTGGTATGAAGAGCGCAATTTTACTTTGTTTTCTCACTTGGATGTAGGCATTCGAGCGGAACGCGAGTGTCAATACCACTGTTCGTGAGAAGAAGCCTAATTCTATTCCGCATGTCACAAGAGCAAATATCATCAACGCCCACCCAAACCCTCAACCAACTACGAGCATACCCACATTCGGCCGTGAAATTTGAAAGATGAAACAAGAATAAGATAAACCCAGACAACACTATTCCGCTATCATGCAAGACCCCAAATGAACTAACCACTTCATGAGAAGAGAACACAAAAAGGGGTATATACTTCAACAAGCCATCCCACCAAATCCAGCTCCATGACCAAGCAGATACACCAAAAACCTAAAACATCTCGGTACAAAACTGGGTATCTCGTACTCAATCAAATCCCAACCAAATGACTTTTTTCTTTCGTAATCATCAAAATCAACAAACACTAGCAAACCTCAATGAACGAAAACAACATCACTGAGGGTGGTAAAACGGCCCCTGGGGTTGGTGTGGCGAGTGAGAAAACGGTGACACTGAACCCTGGGGTGTAAACTGATGTTCAGGCCCAGTCGCATGAATATCAAGCATGTTACCCCCATACCCCATCTGGACCCCCGCGCTGGGATCTTGCAGCCCCAGAGCGTTCATCGACATGGCTGGCATGGCGGGAAAGGGCTCTATCTCTGGAGTAGACACATAATTGTTTGGCGGCGTTGGCATGTAAGGGCTTGTGGTGACGGGAAGTCCGCCGCCAAAGGCGGGCGTGTTGAGGCTAGTGAAGCCAGTGACGGGGTGGTGTCCGACCGGTTGCATGTTGAGATTGGTCTGACCCATGCTCTGAGCGAGATCACTAAAATCGCTGTGGTGTTGAGGGTAAAACTGTTGTTGCTGAGGTATAGCGTGATGGTAGACAAACTGGCCAGGGAGCGGCGCATTCGTATATCCTGGCATTGGGCCTTGTTGACGGACCATTGGCCCCTGGCCAACCGGAGATCGATCCCACTGGGTTTGGGTGTTGAATGTGGGAGGAAACTGCCGCGGTGGCGGATCTTGGACAGGACTGATGATGGTATCCTCGTCGAGATCCTTCTTGGCTACCAGCTTGAGAATCGGCAAGCTGATCTGCTCCATGTGCTTGGCCAAGTGGACAGTCAACTTCTTCCAGGTCGGGAACGTCTTGCCACAGAAGCGGCATGGTTCTTGTTGAGGCAAAGCAGTGGTCTCTTTGTGACAAGCCTCGACTCTTTGCCAGGTGGGGTCGTTACCACCTGCCCGCTTGATGGCCGCCTTGGTCTTCACCTTGGGCTCAGCAAACTTGTGCTCGCGAACCAAGTGTTGAAGGAAGTTGTCACGGCGGTAGCAGATATGACGGCAGTCCTCAACGTCGCACGTCCACCACTCCAGGTGCCGATGACCTTCGTTCTCGTGGCGGACCCAGTCTGCCTTTCTCTTGAAGATCTTGGGGTCTCTGCATCGGTCCCAGGTGCAGGTAAACGGCTGGACATCTTCATGGACATGTTTGGTCCAGTCAGAAGGCTTCTGGAACTTCTTTGACGTGAAACACAGCTGACACTCAAACTCGGCAGGCAGTGTGCTGGTAGGAGGCATGGGGATGTCTTGAGGGAAGCTCTCCTGATTGATCGCGCCCTCTAGCGGCGTGATTTCTCCATCCGAACCGTCAAACCTGGCAGACAGGGGGTCGGTACCGCCGGCGTTGAGGATATTGGCACTGCCTCCGAGTGCAATGCACATGCTACCGCAGTTGCAGTTTTGTGCTTTGACAGCCTGGATGTGCTTTACCCGAGAGTTGAGGAGGCCCTTGTACCGGATGATCTGCTGGTGGGCGATACGTTCGACCAGATAGGTGTTGACGGTACTCAGTTGAGGATTCAACTTGAGAACGTGGTCCTTGAAGCCCGCCATGTTGGGGGTGATGTCATCAATGAGCTTGGTTGACTCCGTCTTGTCGCCTTCTTCAAATCCGTCATCTTCCTCGTCATCATCGTCATCCAAATCACCAGCATTCGACTTGGCATTCCCAAGGTTGGAAACCGGCGGCCCACCGGTCATCTTCCACATGTCGACAATGCCAGGCGGTTGGTTCTCTGACTTGCTTCTCAATCGGTTCATCAAGGGCTTCTTGACGCTCAGCGTGCTCGGGCTCCTCACGACTGGAGAGTGGACAGGAGTGGCGCTGAGGGAGCCGGATCGGGCATGTGTGGTCCCAATGGCTGCCACACTTCCCCCCATGGCAACAAGCGCCGTGTTGATGCTTGGAACACTGTTCTTTCTGTTCCATGGGGTGGGGCTTGGTGGTGCGAGCTTCACCTGGCTGTCTCTTCGCTCAAAAGATGTGTCGGTTCCCCCAGAGCTTGCATCATCGTTTTCAACGCCACGAGACCGCTTGCTATTATTGACACTTGGTTTCCGGGTGAGCTTGTCGCGCATGACCCCAATGATGCTCGGTCGTCGACTGCTATCACCTCGGCTCAGCGAGAGCTTCTTGAAGAGGTTTGTGGTCGCCTGCACATCATAATCAAAGATGCTAGGTAAACTGCGACGCCGTGTTCCCCATGTTGCTGCTCGAGATACAACCGACTCGTTATCGCACATCCGCGTGTATCTCGCAATCGCGGCTTGAGCGGTCTCGGGCTGGTGCCGAGTGGAAGAAATGGACGATACCATGGGTCCATCAGCCCAGTTGCGATTCTGTCGAATGAACTCGACATCCTCTTCCGTCAAACCACCCGCGGCGTTCTCGTTGTAGTACGTTTGGCCAGGTTTTAGCACATTCTGCGTCTCTGATACTTCAATCTCGCGATCGGGAACATTGGTGTTGGCATCCTGAGGCATGACAGGCACGAACTCTGAAGGTGTTGTTCGGGCAGTATGCTTCTGCAGCCAACTGTCAACCCTTCTGTTTTGCTGTTCCCGGTCACGATCTGAAGCCAGCTCATTCATGCTCGGGACCTCGACGTTTGGTCGACGAGCTGGGTCCAAACCGCTCGGGCCTGTAGACTGATTCGCCCATCGGCCCGAGAGATCACGGACAGTGGGAGATGGCTCGGCCTCATACACTGCCTGCTGGCTGGTGTTGAACTCATATGACCCGACATTGTTGTCTTGTTCCCAATGGGAGACTGTGACTCGCGGACTATGACTATGCATAATGGGAGCTGCTGGGGCAAGGCCGCTGTCGCTTGACTCCTCACTGTTGCTTGTCCTTGGAGTCAAGTCGAGAGAAGACGACTGTGCTGTAAGTGAGAGCTCGTGCGGCCCAATCGATGGCTGAGACAGGTCAGGAAATGTTGAAAACTCGCTTTTCCCGTCTGCGTGGGGTGAAGCCGTGGATAGTGAAGGGGTCTTGTCGGGACTCAGAGGAAAGGTGACCGCGCCAGCCTGTGGCACATGTTGCGAGCTAGTCGAAATGTTGGACTGAGATGTCTGTTGGTCGACAAGAAACGAATCCAAGCTATCGTCCACCAAGAAAGAAGGGGAGCCGCCAATGCTATTGAAGCTCGCGCCAAAGAAGGGATCGTCAACTTCGCTGAACTCGCTCGACTGGTAGTGAACACTGAGGGTGGACTCGGACTCGGCAGGGGTGTTGACGTTTAGGGAGGGCGAGGAGTACTGCTGTTGGGGCGATGGGTATGCCGAGAGATGGCTGTTCTTACTTGGCGTCGACGGGGCGCCTTGAAGTTGATATTGCTGGAAGTGAAGTTGTTGTTGCGGTTGCTGTTGTGGTTGCTGGTGAGGTCTGCGGGGTTCATCAATCCGGTCCCGGCGGCGTGTGGTGGTGTCAGGGACGGATGAGGGGTATATGGTGTGAATCGAAGACATATTTGCGGACGACGGGTAGGAAAGTCCAGGGTGATATATTATACGATGAGATCTGGGGGCGTTGTCTTGTCTATGAAGGGGGAAGAGCCGGTGGAGCTCCCGATATCTTGGTTGAGAGGTGGGGAGTCAATGACCCTAGGCGGCATACATGGTCCTGCGGCTGCGCAACGGGAGTGTTGTGTCGGGTGTCACTGTCTTTGCCAGCTACAAATGCGCCAGCCACGGTCCGAATTCCGCTTGGAAGTGCTATGGAAGGTCGCAGCAGAAGCAGGAATGCGGTTCAGGAGAAATCAAGTGATCGGCGTGTCGAGAGCAGGAGGATTGAAAGAGAAGAGTTGGAGTGTTGCTGTTGCTGGCGCGCGCACTGCTAGATGAGGCACGCCGCACCTGTTCCTTGGGCCAGTGGCCCGCTGACAGGGGTGATAATTGGGGGCGAGGCGCAGGGCGACGGCTGCGGTTCCGAGCCTGGACCGAGCCAAGCGCTTAAAGTGCTTGTGGAAAGGAAAGGGGGGAATGCAAAGATACCAACGGTCAAGAGGTTGAGATGATCAATCTTTGATGGAAAACACCAGATATCAAGGTATAACAGAATGGTGAGGTTGTGTAGAGATAAAGCTGAGAAGGCGGGAGGCAGCCGAAAACATGGATTAAGGCAAAGATGGATAACGATAGACCGAATTGATCAGTCAGCTGCATCTATGGGCGGGCAACCTGCAGAAATGGTGGTAACATCAAAAAAAAAAAAAGGAGTGATGGAAAGGGGACTGAGAGGTTGCAGAATTCAGTGTGGCTACTCAGACACGATATTGAAAGCCGAAGGGGACAAGATGGATGAATTGGCTTCTGTCATCCAGAGTCAAGCCACAGCACAGGCACAAGAGAGAACGCCGACTGTTCCGCCTCTTGGGTTGGCAGATTCGGCCACCGTCAGGACCCGTGAGAATGCGGCGACAAAGTATGGTGAGACGGTCAATGGTGAGATGGTCGAGGAGGGGAACCGTTTGGTGGGGCAACAGTGTGCAACAAGCAACGCCCAAGACAGATAATGATGGGGAATCACCAATATCGCTCATGGATACGATTCGAGAAGGTCCCTGGGTAGCACTGTAGAGAATGCTGTGATTCGCAGACGACATGAGGCAGTGCCTCTCCCTTGCCGATGGGCAGAATTGGCAGACCCAAGAGGCAGAATTGCATCTGTATAACCTTCAACCCCGCGCTGGGGTTTTCTGTGGTGAGGGCTCGAACAGGAAGCTTGTCCCCACCCCACCTTCGCGCTACTGACAAGGCATCCACTGCACGGCGAGCGGTAGGCGCACAGCCACCCTGGACGTGGCATAGAAATGCAGGAAAGAAGAGGGCAAGGCATTTTGAAAGTAACGCCAGGAGTCTCCCTAGTTTCAAACTCGCCAGTTCGGCGCCCTGTTATTGAGACACCTCACACAGCATCTGTCGATTTAAAAGAATCTCAAGATTCTCGGCAACAACTCGTCAAAAAGTGCTTGTCTTTGTTAGCGTGCCGATCATGCAAAGAAACCCGAGCGTCTCCACAAGGCCGTGGTGGATCTGTCAAGTCCAGGCCAGTATCATGATCCTCTCTGCTTTCCTCCTGAATTCTGTGTTTCTCATGATCGAGTGACCACATCGACAAAGCCATTGTCTGCTTGCAACTGACAATTTCCACAGCTTTAGGCTTCCTGATGTTGCATAACAACTGCTGACATCAAAGCCCGGTTTTCGGCATCTTTTAAGTGTTATCGCTGGTTTGCCAAGCTCCCGTAGGGCCTGCACAGCCTCGTGGCGTTGACCCTCGCTGTTTGTCTTGGGTGCCGTCCGTTCGGATCATGGCGTCAGTCCCGGCCCCGCAACCTCCGCAACGGCGGGCCATGCCGTCTGAAATGTTTCTTCCCTTTGGAAACATGAGGAGAAGGATTACTAACCGTACGGCCCGGCAGTTGTTGATACGAACAGACGCCCGGCGGATTCCGGCAAGAGCGGCACCTTTTTGATCAGCCTCAAAGCATCTACCGAGTGTGATTCGTGATCCCTTGCGGACGTGTAGTTCTCCACTAGACAAGCCTCCTCCGGCGGTGGCTTGACTGCTTGGTTGTGTAACATTTGTTTCAACCTCGCGATCCCCTGCCCCCAGACGCCCGGAACAAATATGGAGTTTATTTCCAGAATACCTTGACCAGTCCAGACTCGGTATATGCCCCCAAGGTTTGTTCAGCTATCGTGCTTCGAAACCGAGAGGTGCGAGTGGAATAGGTCTGGGGTGCAGCAATCATAGGCCAGCATGTATGGCCGCATGTATTACGAATGTCCCAATTCCGAGCGACGGGCAGGTGATTTATGCTTCTCTGTAGCCGGCATTTGCTCATCCCCGCTGTTTCATGCGACTGATCCTGATCGTGCCACATGGTCGTGATGAAAGCGGCCCTGGCAAGCGAAGGATTCAAGGTTATCACACACTCATACCAGCCACATCATACCTAGGCTACAATATACAATGCGCTGGCATCTCGCGGTTTGTTGTGGCTTTACTCGCTGCTATCTTCCTGCCTAATCTGCCTGTGTCTCGGATTTTTGATATTCGCAAACATCATTTTGCATCCCTGAGTTAGTTGCAACCATGTCAAAGTAGACGATAGAAAAGTCAGACGGCAGGGACCTCGACATATCATCCTTTCATAACTCTTCTTCTTAGCACATGGTCGGTTAATTATAGAAGACTCGAAATTCATGGAACAAAAACAGGTGATGGAGGACTGACTCCTAGAATCAAATAAAACCTTGAGAGAGAAAAGATAAGAGAAACAGCTAGAGTAGACCACTACATGTAAAGTAAACAACAGACAAATAAAATCGCAAAAAGCTCACCGACCATTGACCGGTTACGAAAACCTAGAGGTTTTAACGAAGAATCGAACGGGGGCGTCTCGGGGTTCTCGGTGAACCCCGGCGGAGGGCAGCCCCAATAGCCTTACCACTTGACCGCGAGAGCTTTGTGATGAGGGTACTGGGGCTGGTTGAAATCTACTAGGTCGAACTAATACATAAAGCTTCTACCGGCTGGTGCCTAGCGCTGAGGACCTTGATGGTTGGCAAAAGTCATACACAACCCAACAGGAAAGAGCGAGTGAGCCATCAACGGATCTCGCGACTTCTGTTCGGATGTCTGCCGGCTCTGTCAATCTCCTTCGCTTTCACAAACACTTTTTGTCTTCCCTATCGTCTGCTCCTACATATCCTCTCTGCTCCTCGCTGATGACGGTCAAGATTATGTCTTTATCGATAGACAATTACTCCCCTACTCTTCTTTCTTAAATCCCACGTACACTCTCATCCGATGTTGAAATCTCACCGCGAAATCACCGCTCCCATATAGCCGTGGACCATGGAATAATAACTCGGTCTTATCAACATCCATGCTTCTTAGACCAAGCTGATATGACGCGGTCTGCCTTTTTACAAGAAAAGTTTTTCCATGGCACGAGGTTGACTGAATTCTCCCTTTAGATACCCACTCGACCGGAACAGATGGCATCTCGTCCCGTTCATGCTGAACATCGATAACGGGTCAACAACAAGAGCAGGGCTGGTTGAACGGACATAGCGGTAATACCCTCTCTTCTAATACACCTTCCGATTATAGGCCAAGAAGAAGCCGCACAAAGACGTTCCGTCCGGCTGGGTCTTGTTTCATGTTATTCGCGCGCATCGTCCAGCATTCCCGTCTCCGATCGATTACCCGGCCGCATCACCGGGATTTGCATTTTTGCCTATATTAACCCTCTAATCAGAGCCTCAATGCTTGGACTTCTTGTCCCGCAAGCTTGTAGTGCTTGTCCGAGATAGGGTGCCATCCAGACCCGCTGATCAGGGATCGACGTCAATGCTTCCCGGTTGATAAATCTGCCCAAATAGGAGGCTTTTCGAGTCCCTGAGATCCGGGAGATCATCCCGCATGAGGGGGAAAACGATTTGGTTGGAATGGAGGCAATGGTTCGTGGGGTTGTGATAAGCGAGCCCGAGGCTTACGACGCGGGATGGTATTGCTAGCCGCTGGAGAATTGATCAACACCCATTGTGTTGGGGTCGTTGCTCCATCTCTTGGTCAGTTGGCATGATGATGCTTGTAAGCGACGACGGCAAGAGATCACAAGTGAATATCCTGCCACCTCGAGGCAATTTGTCTTCCTCCGTGACAAACTTGGCAACTCAACCGGGCACAATAATGGGTTCAACATGTCGAACGACGAGAGGTATAAGATGATGGATCTGTCAGTGAAAGAGAGAAGATTGGAAAGAGGCACCGCACTCATCTCCCGTCGTCCACCCTCATAGCCACCATGTACCGCTCAGCAACTTTCCTCACCTTTGCCAGCCTCGTGCTTGGACAACAAGTTGGCACCTACACAGCTGAGCGCCATCCTTCTATGCCTATCCAAGTGTGCACTGCACCGGGCCAATGCACAAGGGAGAGCACGGAGGTGGTCCTTGATGTAAGTTATCATCAAAGCCATAGGTTCCAAGATTGACATCTAACTCACCCCAACCAGGCCAACTGGCGCTGGACACATATCACGAACGGGTACACCAACTGCTACACCGGCAACGAGTGGAACGCAACCGCCTGCCCAGACGGAGCCACCTGCGCGAAGAACTGCGCCGTCGACGGCGCCGACTACAGCGGCACCTACGGCATCACCACCCCTTCCTCCGGAGCCCTGAGGCTCCAGTTTGTCAAGAAGAACGACAACGGCCAGAATGTCGGCTCCAGAGTCTACCTCATGGCCAGCTCGGACAAGTACAAGCTGTTCAACCTCCTCAACAAGGAATTCACCTTTGACGTGGACGTCTCCAAGCTCCCGTGCGGGTTGAACGGCGCCGTGTACTTTAGCGAGATGCTCGAGGATGGTGGGCTCAAGTCTTTCAGCGGGAACAAGGCCGGTGCCAAGTATGGCACTGGGTATTGCGACTCTCAATGCCCGCAGGATATCAAGTTTATCAATGGCGAGGTACACCACCCCCCCCCCAACCCTTTCCCCCTTCCCTCTACTCATAAAATACTAACCCCCCCCTCCCCTCCCCACAGGCAAACGTCGAAGGCTGGGGCGGAGCCGACGGCAACTCAGGCACAGGCAAATACGGCATCTGCTGCGCGGAAATGGACATCTGGGAAGCAAACTCGGACGCGACAGCCTACACCCCGCACGTCTGCTCCGTCAACGAGCAGACCCGCTGCGAGGGCGTCGACTGCGGCGCCGGCAGCGACAGGTACAACTCCATCTGCGACAAGGACGGCTGCGACTTCAACTCGTACCGCCTCGGCAACAGGGAGTTTTACGGCCCCGGCAAGACGGTCGACACGACCAGGCCCTTCACCATCGTCACCCAGTTTGTCACCGACGACGGGACCGACAGTGGCAACTTGAAGAGTATTCATCGGTATTACGTCCAGGATGGGAATGTGATTCCTAATTCTGTCACCGAGGTTGCGGGGGTGGACCAGACGAATTTTATCAGTGAGGGTTTCTGCGAGCAGCAGAAGAGTGCGTTTGGGGATAATAATTATTTTGGGCAGCTGGGGGGGATGAGGGCTATGGGGGAGAGCTTGAAGAAGATGGTGTTGGTTTTGAGCATTTGGGATGATCAGTATGTTTCACCCCCCTTTTTCCAAACCCGAGAGAGATGAAGCTAATGATGAGAAACAGTGCTGTGAACATGAACTGGCTCGACAGCATCTTCCCCAACGATGCTGACCCGGAGCAGCCAGGTGTTGCTCGCGGGAGGTGCGATCCTGCTGATGGAGTGCCGGCGACGATTGAGGCTGCTCATCCGGATGCGTATGTTATTTACTCCAACATCAAGTTTGGGGCTATCAACTCGACTTTCACTGCCAATTAGATGGGCATGGTAGACTGGGCGTGTTGGGGTAGGGTTGAACCTTGCTAGAAAAAGGTGCCTGGGTTATGGTAGATGGTAGTGATACCGTATATATGGGGGTTTTACATACGGCTACAACTTACATAGATTGCATTTTCTTGTCCCCTTCACAAAAGTGATCACGTTTTTTCTATTCTCTTATCGACACTGTCTAGTGCTTATGAACCGGCCTTCCTCCCATCTCGAGAGAAACCATCTTGCATGTGACAGTGCTGGCCTCGATGGGCATTCCTTTGATCCCCAGCCAGCCCAACTTTCTTGTATAGACAGGGCCCAACGTTGACATTTTGGCTGCCTTATCGCTTCCACCCAAGTCGTTTGTCGCATATATAAATGTCAAGAATGTCTACCAACTTCAAGTCCAGCTCAATTGCAGTGGACATCTCCAAGGCGAACAAAACTGGGAGCAATAATGATCCACTGCCGTGCCCAAACAGACTGCAGTGGTGTTTGCTTGCTCTGGGTTACAACGCGCGACATACCCCGCATGGATACCACGATACCCAATCCTCCAGCAAAAGTCATCCAAGACTATCAGAAAGAGGCAAAAATGCACAAGTGATCGACATCGCAATGCGGCATAATAGGTCAGTTGAGCAAAAGTCCAGTCGTCGACAAGCAACTCGCCAAAAGAAGAGGCAACCCAACTTTTTGTCTTCAGCGACACACTGTGCGACACGTGTGAAATCGAAAAGGGTCCCGTCCTTTCCGCCCTTTTCTGCAGCAGACGGGAGATCCTATCGACGATGGGGTATCCAAGTCAAAAAGTAGCGGCAGGCCGCGTATGTACCGACTCAGTACACTCAATATTGTATCCATACACAATACAAGCGGTGAAGAAAATGTTTCCTTCTAGTTTGATAGGGTATAGCAATCGGAAGCTGGGAATGCAAGACATACCTATACTCTGTAACTTCTGATGGTGACTGATGACACGAATCGGGCATCATTATTCGAGAATCCAGCAGCAGGACAAATGAAAATGCTGCCCTGTGAAACCCAACGACGCCTCTCGTTACCTTCCCATTCCAAAAAATACGGCCGGGTATTCCTGGCTGACTGATCCGGGTTGGTGTTGGTGACTGGTCGTGACCTGCAGGTTGAGTCTGTATCTTGTCCAATCATTGGCCGTGGCGGTCGACGTCGCGGTCCCAGTGTCAGCTGAAGTCGTCGCGAAAGAAAAAAGAGGAGGGTGGTCCGTGGGGAAAAAAAGCTAGGGAAGGGTCAGCCGCGGGCGCTTGTTTGATTCTGTCCCCACAAGGCCAAGGGCCAAGCGCTGACAACCTCTCTCGGTTTGCTCCACTTTCTTGGTGAGGGGAGCTTTCAGACCCCGGCCCCAGAGCAGACGAGTTCAGGGTTCGGGCAGTTCCAGAGCTGGGTTAGCTGCGACCCCCAGCCTCTTGATTGATTGATGGTTCGGATGGAACAATCCATCTCAGATCTCCAAACAACAACACACACCTGAACCTCCATCTTCCATCCTATCCTTTCCCCAGTCTTTCGTTCCTTACTCTTGATCTTTGAAACCCAGTTGTCGCGATACTCGCTGGGTGTTGACGAAACTAATACCAAGGCGCAAATCTGATTTTTTGAAATCAAGTACCCCTTATCGCGTGAAATAAACACAACAAAAAACAACCCACTTCAATGAATGGAACGTGAAGGAAGTTTGGACGACAGGTTGTTTCTTGAGCTTTCGCCAAAATGATGCGAGAGCCAACGGCCCGTCGCCGGAGCCCAGAGAGCTCCCGGCGGCGACGCGCCGAGCGTCGGCATTCCAGAGAACAGCTCGCTGCTGCCGCCGCTGTCGCCGCCGGCGTCGTCGCTGCCCAGCCCGCCCCCCTACTACCACAACAACTACCACCCGGACCCGAAGTAGGCGACCGCGCAATAATCCCGCCCGTGTCATCATCCCAAACCCACACTCCTACGCAGCACATGACGGCGCTATCTTCGTCCCAGACACAAACTCCCACGCAGCACCAATATCACCGATCTAGGGCCGATTCCACCACATCCGCCTCCTCGTCGACCTCTTCGTCGCTGGTGAATGTCTCCCGTCGAAGCCGATTTGGCATCCGTAACTTCTTTGCCCTGTCATCCGTGAAGAAGGTCAAAAAGCGGCGCTCTTTCAAGAGGAAGAACTATTCGACGTCTTCAGTTGACAGCGATCTTGCCTACGGCAACGGATATGTGTCGCGGTCGTCCATCGAAAGTACCCATCGCCCATCGCCTTCACAGCACCAACAGATCCCGCAATATCCACAGCACCACCAGCCATATACCCCGGGGGCTTTCTCCCATGTAAGCGGCGCATATCCAGCACCACCAGGACCCTACTCCCCTCATCACTATAGCCAACATGGACACCACCCTGGCCAAGGTTACCCTCCTCCTCTCCCGCATCAATATGGCCAGCCCCATCCGCGACAAGGTCCCAATGTTGGTCCGGACGGTCCTCCGGTCCTCAAGCGTGTCCAAACCGACGAGGAGATCATCGCCATTGGCAGGAAACTGTCCGACCTCGCCCGTGCTGAGAACCTCCGCGACCTCGAACGCCAGGGTAAATCTCGTCCTTCCCGTATGGTGGCCACCGCGACAGCTGTCTCTGCTTTCCACCGTAAAAACTCTGGCGGGATTCGCGGCATCAGCTCCTCTCGGCCAAATAAATCGCAGTCTTCCTCTAGTGATGAAGAATGGGAATCCGCCTCCGACTCCGACTCCGACTCTGATTCTCCCAGCTCTGATTCAGACTCTGGTCTCGCTTACGGTTCCATGCCTCGTTTTTCGGACCCCATCCTTCCTCCGCTGACAGCTCTAGCCGGGACAGCAGGCGTCATGGGCGCAGCGATTGGAGCCGGTAGCCTAGCTCCCACCATCATCTCTGAGCGCCCATCTGAAGCCATCCGTCCGCCAGACCGCAAGCCAAGCGCCGTCGATCCAGCAATGTTTGGTCCCGTGAACTCTCTCCGGGGATATGTGAATACTCCTTGCGGTTTTAGGCCTGGGGAGTATGTCTCTCCGGTGCAGTCTCAGTATCAGTCTCCCGCACTGGCGCACAGAGTGACGGCTGAGAACCCGATTCCATTGCCGGGAAGCGCAAGCAATGAAGCTCTGGTGCAAAGGCAGAGACAGCAGCAGCATGGTTTTGATCAGCCTATCACTGCGACCAATCTTGGTACCCCAGTGCAAATTCAAGCCCCGCGACCAAGAATTCCCGTCTCGCCTCAGGTGTTGGAAGAGCGAGGTCATCATAGGGAGCATGAGATTAGCACGGGCAGTCCGAAGAAGCGCAGAGAGAGGGAGCGAGAGAGAGATAAAGAGAGTAGTATCTCAGCAGCTCTTCCGGCTGTCGTGGGTGCTATTGGGGCTGCGGTTGTTGCTGGTGCGGTGTTGAATAATAATAAGGACGAGGGGAGGAGGCCCGACGAGAAACGTGATGAGAGGCCACTACGTGATGATGATTATGATCGGGAGAGACGCCGCCGTTATGATGATGATGCCAGGCGGAGCACCATTGATATTAATGATAAGAGGGATGAGAGATATAATAGGTAAGCTTCTTCTGAAGTTGTTTTGTGTCGTCTGTGTGTTTTACGACTTCAGATGAAATAAGGTTGGGCAGAGTGAGTGGTGGCTGACATGTGCTCAGACGCGACTACGACCGTCCACCCACGTCAGATGCCACTAGATCGGATGAACGGTATTGTGAGCGTGAGCGTGAGCGTGACCGCCATTACGATACGCCGACTGGTCGCGACCGGGATGATAATCGCTATTCTCGACGGGAGCCCGAGAGCAAAGGTGGTATTTCCGAGGTCATCACTCCCGCTGTTATCGGTGCCGTGGCTGGTGCCGTGCTCGCAGCCGGTGCTCGTAGGGATAGCAAGACTTCGCCTGTTCACCGAACCTCGCCCAGCCTGGAGCGTGACGATGGATACAAGGAGCGTATGCGGCTCGAGCAGGAAGTCAAGCGGCATCGCGAGGACAGTGAACGTCACGCCCGTGAGGAACAGCGCTTGCGCGATGAATACGAGGTCCGCATGAAGGAGATCCGCGAGAAGGCCGAGGAGGAGGAGCGCCGGGCTAGGGAGGAGAAGAAGAAGCAAGAGTGGATCGAGCAGCAGGAGAGGATCGTCCGGGAGCAACGCAAGATTATCTATCAGCAGGAGCGTGTGGCTAATGACGAGCGCGAAAAGGCTGAGCGCGACCGGAGATCCAGAGATGCCAACCAGAAGAGGGAGCGGGAGGAGAAGCGGGCTTTGGAAGCAAGTGGCGGACGTGAGCCAAGTCGTGATAAAGAGCGATCGCGAGATCGGAGAAAGGACGTGATTGTTGTCGTTGAGGGACGTCCTGATGTTGCTGACTCGGTTCCTGCCCCTGCTCCTACCCCTGCTCGCTCTGAGGTCAGCAAAGGGAAGGAGCGCGAGGTTGCTCCTCCACCTTCGGCACCTGCCCTCGATGAGAAAAAGCCAGCTGGGGCCGACTCTCTGGCTCCTGCTGTCAAGAAGAAGTCCAAGGAGGAAAGGAGGCAAGCAAGGGAAGAGCTCCGCAAGTTGCTTGCTGAAACTCAGAAACAGATCGAGGCTGAGAAGGAGCGAGCCAGGCGGTTGGCTGAGCTGGAGGCTATTCAGGGTGCCCCTTCTGCCATTACCGTCGAGCCACCTGCCGAATTATCTCGTGGGGAGCCGTCAGGCAGCAGCAGCAGCCGTGCTCCTGCCGTTGTTGACCCTTTCCAGTTCCAAGTCCCGACCGACGCCTTCCCAACTCCTTCCCATACCCCTCCCACTGATCGACCGTTGACCCCTGCCATTCTCACTGTCGAGCCAGACTGGGATCGCTTGGAGCCCGAGCCAGAAGGGGAGGTGCGGGAGCGTCTCAGCCGCCGTGAGTCGTATGAACTTGAGATTGCCCGAGCTCAGAAGATCGTTGAGGAAACCAACAAGTCGACTATCCCCGCCGATCCTGCCACCATCGCTGCTGCCATTGCCGTCGTCGAGTCTTCCGAGAATGATAGAGAGCGCTCCCGCTCTCGCGCGCCCTCCAGAGGCCGTGACCGTGAGCCTGTCCGGGATCCTGTCCAGGAGGAAGCCAATCGAGTCTATCGCGAACGCAAGATCGCTGAGAGAATCGCAGGAGAGGAGTCCCGTTCTCGCAGCGTTTCGCCTTCGCCTTCCATCATGGACAAGTACGAGGATAACGGCGAAGATCCCGTGGTCCGTATCGTCACTCCCCCTGAGATGAAGCGTGCTCCAAAGAAGTCGGTGTTTGACGGCCCCAACGCTGATGTGAGGATTGACAATGTGATTATGCCTCATGACTTGGTCAAGTACCAGGCTCCTCCCGCGATTCCAGGTGTCAACCCGGCCATGATGATGCCCATCTTCAAGTCTAGGGATCCGTCGTGTGAGAGGGAGAGACCGATGCTCATTTTGGTGTTGCCTACTCCTGCAGTATCGCCTAACCCGGAAAAGATGATGCGGTCTGTGAGCTCATCTTCCCAGGCGGCGACTGTGGTTGATGCCGAACCGCCCAAGGACAAGGACGAGCCTGCCACCCCTCCTCGGAGCCCCAAGAAGGAAACAAAAATCATCATGACTCGTCGCGGTGAGGCTGTGGAGGTACCCGATGATTATGACACTGGTCGCGTGAGGGAGTCCCCCGAGAGCAGAGACGCGTCTCAGGAGAGGAAACCACTGAAGTTCAAGTTCGCGTCTCCGGGCAAGAAGACCAATGCTTGGTCGTCTACGCTGGCGGCTGCTATTGCTGGTGCCACTGCTCTTGCTGCGAAGAGGAAAGAGGAAGCCAAGGCCGCGGAGGCTGCCGCGGAGGCTTCTGGTTCCAGGGCGATCGAGGGCGAGAGTGCTTCGGCAGCTGTTGTTGAAGAGAAGCGAAAGCCGGCCATTGTTACTGCTGAGCCGCCTTCAGAGCCGAGAGAGGTTGTGCCTGAGCGAGAACAAAGAGATACCTCGCCTGGTCCCGCCATCTCTGAGCCCCCGTCTACCCCACCACAACAGAGGAGGTATGTTCCCATTGATCTGGAAGATGAGACGCCCCCACGGGTCGGCCCGAAGCCGACATCATCCAGCCCCAGCTTGAGCCGGATGCCGGGCTCTTTCGAGGAAGATCTTGACTTCAACGCCACCGTGGCTGCTGGACTGCAGGCTTCGGGCTTTGATCCCAACATTGTGATCAAGAACGAAGATTTCCGCCGACGGGACTCCCCTCGCGGCTCAACCCAGCCATTCTATGTACCTCCTTCTGCCGAGACTGTTACTGATCCAAGTGACTCTAGCCGCCCATCACCTGCTGTTGTCACCGCCGCGCCCACAGAGCTTCCTATTGTACCGGCACAAGCTGAGCAAGACTTTGATTCTTCCCCCAGGAGGAAGTCCAACTCTTCAGAGGTGTCACGCAGCAGCTCAGGCAGCAAGAAGAGCAACAGGAGAAGCCATATGAGCACCAGGAAAGATTATGTCGACATACCAGAGCACGAAGAGCCACCAGACAGGCCAAACGAAGAGGACCTCTCTGGAAGGGTTCCCTCCAACCTATCCAGAGAAGCTTCTTCATTCCAGGTGGTCGACCAGCCAAAAGAGGAGTCCTTTCGGGTAGTCGAGCGAGGGTTGAGTTCGACTCCGTCTGATCCTGTTGGCCAGACGAACGACCAAGCCGACGATGCCAAGCACATCACTGGCAACGCTCAGCAACCCGCAGAGAACAGGGACAAGCAGTCTTTTTTAGCTAGAGCCGGCACCAGTGGCGACGGTGCCGGCCTGATGGAAGTCCAGGCTTTTGCAAGCCCGTACTCCCATCTCAACGCCGTCCTGCCCTCTTCCATAATTGAAGAGGTATTCAAAGGATTAGGGGAAGCCAAAGACACCCAAGAGCCCATCTGGCGCCGTGAGCGAAGCATCAGCTACAGCTCCCAGAAGGTCGACCCTGAAGTCCAGGTGCATCGTGAGATTAAGCCAGCGATCGATCCCCAGTTTGGAGACCTGCTTCCTCTGCCTCCTAGTGAGCCAAATTCCCCTGACGATCCCAGCTTTTACGAATTGGACGGCTTCTTCCCTTCCTTGCCGGAGAGTCGCCCTAATACTCCGCCTCAAGAGCAACGGACCCGAAGCGCGACTGTCTCATCTCGCCGTCAGGGTCAGGGTCATGTCAGAACTCCCAGTCGAACAGCAGTTCCGTTACCGTTGGTGATGGGCCGGCGATCTGTGCCATCTTCACCTCGGGTTGGAAGATCAAGCCCTGTTCAAGGTGTGGAGCAGCCGTACTCGCCCCCTAAGAGTAGACAGGCTAGACCAACAAGCTGGGATATGGGGAAGGAGTACAAGCCGTTGTGGTTGATTGAGAAGAAAGGCGGAGAGGAGAAGAGGGCGCCGAATGTGGTGGACTACCCCGCGCTGCCGGAGAGTGAGAGTGAGCCGCCTTCGAGTGCACCCGAATCTCCTGGCTTTGATGCTGTAGATCGAGATGAGGATGTCGATGTCGGCTACCTTCAGCGCGGCGGTTTTGGTTTTGCAGGTGCTTCCATTGGAGCGTTGGGAGCGCTCGGTGCTGGTAGGATTCTACAGGATCAGCTCAAGATTGACGTGCCACTTGCGAGATCATTCGAGCAGCAATCATCTGGGTTCGGATCTGGAGAGACCACGCCCCGTGCTTTCGCGGCTGACGAGTTTGCCCAATCTCCTGAGGCTAGGAGGAATGACATTGAAAGCTTGGAACAGATGTCACCTGTTGGATCTGTGCATCTCGAGAGCCAGTCCACCACGGACAAAGAGGATGACGTTCAAGATCTCGAGCAGCTCTCGCCAGTCGTTGTGCCCTTCAAAGCGCCTGCTAGACAGCTAGCCTTTGGTGATGAATTGGAGCTCTTGCCTGCGCTACCCGAGAGTTTGCCAAATTCACCTCTCGAAAAGGGCCCGTCACCATCATCTGCACCTTTGGTCTTTGGAGGACCTTTGGAGGAGTTGCCTTCTTTGCCAGACTCTCCCATCCAACAATTGGCCAAGGAGGAAGCCTCTGCTTCGATCCTCTCAGAAAGCCGTGCTCTCTCGCCGCTTCAGGATGCCTCTACTCTGGATGTGCCGGTTGAGACTTTGGAATTGCCGTCTCTTGAGAGCTCCTATGGGACTTCAATTGACGACAAGAACTCACCTCACACTCGAGAAGATGGAACCGAACTCTTGCTTGCTTCTAGCGGACCTGCGAGCCCGGTACCCAGCACTATGCCACAAACCACAGAGTCGCCAGAGGTTGTTGAGTTGCCCGCTCTCCCTGACAGTGCTCCTGCATCTCCTGTTCAAAACGTTTTGCCTGGCCACTTTGAGGAGATGGAGGAGCTGCCACCACTGCCAGAGAGCCGGGCAGATTCTCCAGTGCATATGGAATTGGCTTCTCCTCCTGTTGCAGTCTTGCCACATGCTGGAGAGTTTGAAGATGCATCTGCGCTGCCAGCTCTTCCGCAGGAGCAGCCTGGTACTCCTGATCATGAGAGGTTTCCGGCTCTTCCCCGAAGCCGCGCCCCCAGTCCTGTTCCGTCAGCCAATTTACCAGCTCTTCCTGCTAGCACTCCTGGCTCTCCAGTCATCGACACGCTGCCGGGTCTCCCCGCAAGCAGATCACCAAGTCCCGTTTCTTCAGGCTTGTCAGTTTCCGATTTACCGCTTCCTGCGGACAATCGTGTTGGTTCACGCAGTTTCTCGGATTTGTCAGTCGTCCCAGAGCGTATGCTTGTTCCTGATGTTTTTGCGGACTTGCCTGCTCTCCCTGATAGCGAACCTGCTACTCCTGTTCATACAGACCTCCCCGTTCTGTCTGAAACCAAACCTCTCAGCCCGATTGTTACAGCCCAGCCAACTACCTCGGAAAGCCAGCCTGCCGTTTCGGCCTCGCCCACTCTGCCTGAAAGTCGGTCTGCTACCCCTGTTGTCTCTGATGTTCTAGCTTCTGTAGAAGACGGACCCGGCAGCCCGGTCTTTGAGGATGTCTCAGTCTTCCCAGACAACAAGCCTCTTAGCCCTGTTCTTTCAGCCTTGCCGCCTCTCCCAGACAGCACACCGGAGAGTCCCGTGGTACCGGCTGAAGCTATTGCTGTTGAGGAAGAAGCTGTTGTTGACGATAAAGTCGATCATCTTGACTGCAAATCTGCAGTCGTTGAAAGCGAACCTAGCAGCCCTGTCAGCTTGACCCAGCAAGTGGTTGCATCGAGCAGGTCTCTTGGTCCTGTGTTCCCAGGCTTGTCTGCCCTTCCCAAGAGCCGACCTGCCAGTCCTGTTCTCTCGCCACTGCCAGCTCGTCCTGACATCAAACCTGTTGCTCCAGTCCTTTCGGCTACGCCCAATTTTGCGGAAAGCAGACCGGCAAGCCTTGCTCCATCGTTTACGCCGCGTCCCCGCTCTGGTAGTCATTTCTTCACTACTCTCTTCTCCCTGCCTGTTCTATCAGGCGTGCAATCTCTTTCAAAAAGCCGTCCTTCGTCTCCTCTTCAGAAACCAAGCTTGGCTAATGAGACTCTTGAAGAAATCCCCGCACTGCCACTTTCTGAAAGTGGGCCGGTCTCTCCCATCGAATACTTGTCAAAGTCGCTGGCGGAGGCGCTCGAAAAGGTTTCAGAGTCGCGCTTTGAGGCAGAGAGCCGACCCGAGTCCCCTGTGGAGTTGGCAAAGTCTCCTGTCCAGACCTTTGAAGACGTTTCTCAACTCCCAGCTCTGCCTGACAGTCAGCCCGAATCTCCGCTCGTGTTGGCAGAATTGTCTGCTCGGACCGTCTTAGATGCCTCACCAACTCTCCCCCCCTCTGAAAGCCGGTCTATCTCCCCTCATCCAAAGCCTGTAGATTTTTCAGATCTGCCAGCCTTACCTGAAAGTCTGCCTATGTCTCCTGTTCTGGAACATCTGCCAGTGCTCGGCAATTCTCAGCCAGCCACGGAGGACCTTGTTGATTCAAATCCCGCCGTAGTGTCGAAGGAGACTCCAACTCTTCCCGAAAGCCGCCCTCCCTCGCCTCTCCACGACGTTGAGCTTCCCACTCTTTCAGAGAGTCGTCCTGATTCGCCAATCGTTGATACATTGCAGCAGCAATCTTCTCCTGTTTTCACGCCTGTTGTCCCACGGGGACTAGAGTCTCTGCCAGCCCTGCCCGAGAGCGAGTTGAATTCTCCAGTTCTTGAGCCTGTCCTTTCCCAGGGGCACGAGTCTTTGCCCGCTCTTCCTGAGAGTACGCCAATTTCCCCTGTTGTTGAGCCGACCTTGGCTCAAGCGCCAGAAGTACTGCCAGCACTATCCGAGAGTAAGTCAATCCCACCTGCTGCAGAATCTATTCTTAACCCGTAATTAGATGCTCTTCCAGCCCCTTCAGACAGTCTACCGGCCTCTCCTCTGCTTGAGGTTCTCCCTATTTCGGAACTCGACTCTCTACCAGCCTTACCGGAAAGCAAGCCGGGATCCCCTATTGTCGAGTCTGTTACTACTCATGAGCTAGCGTCTCTCCCTGTTGATTCTGGGGACACGTCAACTTCTCTTGCTCCTGAGCCCGTTCGTGCCACAGAACCAGAGAGCTTCTCCACGCTTTCTGAGACGGCATCACCTTCCCCTATTCAGCATCCCATGGTTCGCCAGCTTCCTGATGAGATCCTCAACAATCTACCAGCTCTTCCCGAGAGCCCGCTTGCTTCTCCGGTTGAACGGCCTGTAGAGCTCCAGAGCCTCGAGGCTTTGCCGCTCCCTGAAAGCCAGCCAGCCTCTGCCATCCAAGTTTCTGCCTCCAGCAAACATCACGAGTATAACTTGGATCAGTTGCCTGCTCTTCCCGAGTCTCGTCAGGATTCACCTCTACTCGAGCCCGTTCTGTCTGAGCACCAGGAGATTCTGCCTGCAGTTCCCTTGGGCGTGTCTTCATCACCCGTTCATGTCCCTGTGCCACGCCAGTTCCCTCAAGACGACACAGATGAGCTACCGGCTCTTCCTGATTCTCAACCTGTCTCACCTGCCTATGCTCCCATCTCACGTCAGTTCCCTGATGAGTTTGCGGACAGTTTGCCTGCTCTTTCTAAGACCCAGCCAACGTCATCTGCTCAGGATAGCCTCTCAAGCCAGATTCAAGAGGCGCCTTTGGACACGCTGCCTGCTCTGCCGGAAAGCCAGCCAATGTCTCCTGTTCAAGATGCCTTCCCTGCTTTGCCTGGCAGCCGTTCTCCTTCGCCTTCTCAGCTGGCCCTGCCTCAGTTGGTCGATGCGCGCGATGAACCTTTGGTCAATACGCCTGCCCTTCCCGTCAGACACTCATTTTTTCCGATCGAGGTTTCTGAACCTCGCCAACTTCCCAGCTTGGATTTTGACAGCTTGCCCGCTCTGCCTGAAAGCCAGCCAACCACCCCTGTGGAGGATTCTGGTTCAACTCAGCTTCATGGCCAAGATTTTAGCGACCTTCCAACTTTTCCCGATAGTCTGCCTGTATCGCCTGCTCAGACCTCTGCTCCTCAGCTACCAGCCCAAGATCTGGACAACTTGCCGTCTCTTCCTGAAAGCCGACCAGGCAGTCCTACTGTCCGGTCCATGCCCGCACCTGGTGATGCTCGACCATTGTCTCCTGTTCAAGCCCCTATTGAACAGGTGTTCAATGAAGGCGTTGAGACTCTGCCAGCCCTTCTGGATAGTCGGCCCGTGTCCCCCCTCGAAACTACGGCTGAGGCCGCTGTGGAGATCCCTGTGGAAGCTCCTGTCGAGGCTGCTGCTGATACGTTCTTTGATGCTCTTGAGACTCCTGATGAAGTTGCTGAGCATGAGCCTCCGGAGGAAGATTTTAAGAACTTGCCAGCTCTTCCCGAAAGTCCGCCAACTTCCCCTGTTCCAGACCTTGCTTCGCCTCAACTGCCCCGCCAAGAATCAGATGACTTGTCAGCTCTTCCCGAAAGCCGATCTGTGTCTCGCAATCAAGACCTTGAGGATTTGCCAGTTCTCTCAGAAAGCCAGCCCATGTCACCGACACAAGCTCCAGCTACACCTGAGTTGCCCAAAGAAGACTTGGATCAGTTACCAGCTCTTCCTGACAGCCCCTTCTTGTCGTCCGCTGAGGCTGCACAAGTACAACTCGATGTAGTCGAGGTAAACCTGGCCGATCTGCCAGCTCTTCCTCAGAGTCGCGCTTCTTCACCTGTACACAAGCCTGTTCTGCCGCTTATCGTCACGGACTTGGAGAAAGCAGAAACTGTACCGTCGCCCAGATCAACTGGCAGGGAAATCGCGGGGGTGCAAGAGCAAGACTTCGCGACACTTTCTCAAGTCACAGATGGCAACGATGCACAGATTTATGAGCCTCCGTCATCTTATTCCGATGTCAAGACGCCACCGAGCCCCATTACAAGGCGCGCACTTGAGAAGGAGAAGGAACTGGATGATTTCGACAAAGGCAAGTCGGTTTTTGTGGATACTGCCGCTGCTGCCGGCCCTGCCAGCACTCTTGTTGTTGCCAACATGCGCCAGAACGGTTCTCAGCCAGACATCCAACGTCTGGGCTCTGAAATGCAGATTCCTCCCAGCCAAGAGAAGAGCGAGAGTGTCTATTCGTTCAATGAGGATGGAACATCTACCGTCGCTGCGTCTGAAGCACCTACTTACCTTTCTGGGTCAACTTTCTACGAATCTCAGCTGTCTGAGCCGACCAAGAAGAAAGACTCTCCTCGCCAAACTTTCAGTTCGCTTCTTGGGCTCTGGAGCAAGCGTGAAAAGACCCAGCCAGAACCGCCTGCTGTTTCCAAGGTCGTGGCTAAGGTGGTTCCTGCTACAACGCCTGAGGAGGAAATGTCTGAGGATGGTTTGGTTCCCAGTCCGACAAAGAAAGACAAGAAGAAGAAGAAACAGAGGAAGGGTGAAAAGGAGGGGAGTGAGAGTGGGAGTGGATCTCAGCAAGAGCAACAGAGAGGCGAATCGTCCGGCGGTCTCAACATTCTTTCGAGCAACCAGTCGACCAACGACCAGCCCGCATCGTCCATAGTCAATAAACCTGTTGTTTCTCGCTACCTGCCGGACGACGAACCGTCGCCTTCTCCTGACCAACAACATGATGAACCGAGCCATGACGCTGACGTTGCTCCTGAAACCGAGGAATTCCCGGTTCCTGACGAAATACTCCCTGCTGAAGAAGTCCCTGCTACCGAGGAACCACCCACTCCCGGCAAAAAGTCCAAGAAGAAAAAGAAGAAGGCTAAGAAGGCTGCAGCCGAAGCTGCAGATGTGGCTGAAGAGGAGGCTGCTCTCGAGGCTCCACCGCCAGAACAGGACATTGCGGCTGAGAACGTGGCTTCAGCAGAAACGCAAGCTCCGAGCAGCGGTGAGCTTGATGATTCTGCAAAGGATCAGGGCCCTGGTCCTCAGCCTTCGGTCAGAGATGATGTGGATGATGTTGAACCTGCCGAGAAAGAGGAGCATATTGCAGCTGCACCGTCAAGGTCAGGTTCAATCTCAAGCCCTACCACGCCAACTTTGACCAGAGATATCACGAAGAAGGGCATTCTGTCTATGCTGCCGGCTGTTTCCCCCTTTCGTACCGGATTTTGGGGCATCAAGAAGCAGGAACCGGCCACGCAGACAATTCTCGAAGAAGGCCCTGAACTCCAAAGTCAGCAAACAGAACAGGGGCTGGGTCTAGGCGAGTCTAGCGACCGTTCCATTGAAGTGGGGCCTGCAGAAGACGTGCATAAGCCTGAAGCCAAGGAGGAATTAGGGTTGAATACGGCTAGCCTTGCGCTAGACACCGCTGTTTCTCTTGTTGAGAGCCCTATCCTGGTCCAAGACGAGGCAAAGATTGAGCATGAGGCAACAAAAGAGTTGTCGGATGAGAGACAAGAACTGGTCGAGGCTGAGGTTGTCGATGTTGATGTTGATGACAAGGAAGAGAGCAAGGACACCGTGCGGAATGACGAAAAGGAAAGCACGTCGCGTGTTGTTGATGAGCCAGTCGTTGCCCACGAGCCAGTCCAGGATGTCTTAGTACCGGAGATCACAGCAGCAGCGTCTGAAGATGTTGTTCAGGAGGAGGCTGTTGATGAGCCTTTGCCCACTACGGCTTCTGAGAATGTGGAGGTGGTTGAGCCTGCGACAAAGAAGAACAAAAAGAAGAAGAAAAAGAAGAAGGCCGCCGCTACAGCTACTGAGAACCTGGAGACATCTAACGCCACTCATGCTACTGAACAGTCAGTCTCGGAACTGGTCCCAGAGCCATCTGCCTCTTCAGGCCAAGTAGAGGAGGCCCTCACTGAGACTGCTCCTGCTGAGGAAGTTGCCCTCGCCGAAGATATCGCCGTTCTTTCCGAAGTGACCCCTACTGCTGAGGCAGTACCTCCCAAGGAGATTGCCGCTGCCCCTGAAGCTGCCCCGGCCCAAGTCAAAGAGATTCCCGCGTCTACAACAACCAGCAGTAAGAAGTCCAAAAAGAAAAAGAAGAAAAAGAACGCTTCCCAATCGACTGAAAATCTTACTACAGTCCCCATTGTCGAAGAGCCACCCGTCCAGGATACCACTGTTCAGCACCCGTCCACGGACCCGGAGCCCGAGACCAAGCAAATCCCTGAGGATGCTGCCACCATTTCGATTTCTACGGACGACGAGCTGCAAAAGGACGCAGACGATTCTCTCATAGACAAACAGGAGCCCAAGAGCATGGAGCAGCCCCTCGAGGAGCACAATATTCCCGGACAGGTCAGTCGAGACTCAAGCGAGCAACCCAACATTAGCCATGGCAGCGACAGTACAACACCAAGAGGTGAGGACGACAATAAACCACACCAGACCGAGGCCCATCCCGTTTCTGAGGTTTTTTCATCATCGTTTTCACCAGCACAGTTGCCAGAAAAGAGCGTCCAGAACAACCAGGAGACGGTGGAATCTGCACTCAATGAGATTTCCAGCGATCGACAAGATGGTGTTCCTGTTACTATTCCCCATGATTTACTACTCCCTGACAATAATGATGCTGCTGTACAAGACGTCTCCAAGGAAGAACCAGGCTTTGACACGATTTCTTTGCAACAGGAACAGGACCTCCCCACCGCGCCACCGTTGACGACCGAAGCCACTCCGGAGCTGGAGCCGGTCATTAAGGAGGAGACTGACACTGGTGATGGCCTCGCCGAGACAAAGTCAACACATGACGTCAAGTCCGGCATCGGTAAGCTCTATATTGCCCCGTCAGAACACAAACACACTATGATGCATCAGATGAACTAATCATTTTTCATATTCAGTCGAACGAGGTTTCACCGCCCCGCTCGTGGCTGCAGACAGTACCATTGAGGCCTTGACAGGTGGTGCATCTGGAAGGACTGCCGTTACCCAGTCAGAACCAATCGCTATTGAGGAGGCTGCAGCACTTGTACCGCTGCCGGAAGAGGTTGAATCTGATTTTCCCACTGATACTACAAGGGCAGAAGAGGAGAAGAGTAAGGAACACTAGAATTGAATACAAGAACATCATTTAGACTGACATTGACCCAGCACCGCCAATTGATGAAGACAAGGCCGCCTCATCCGTCGCCCAAGGCGAGGTTCAACAACGGCCTGAAGAAGGTCGGGCTGAAACACCTGCAGTACCTGCAGCAACTCCCCTGCAAGAACAACAACAATTGGGTGACATCGCTGTACCTCCCCCACAACAACCGCATTTGCAGCAACAAGAGAACTCGTTTCAGGCACTACAGCCAATCCCAACAGCGGCTTCCCCCATTGATGCTACACAACTGCATGAATTGAGGCTCGCCTCTTCCCCAATCGGTGCCAGGCCTCGCTCGGTCAGCTTCACCCTGGAAGCGATCAGCCCTGGCGCCTATACCCCCACGAGCAGCGGTGCCATGTCTCCTGTAACGGAGCACGAGTCGGAGGATGCATCTGGTCCTTCGTCACGTTACACTCTCCGGAGCAAGAAGAGAGAGAAGCGGAAGAAGTCTACTGCCCTGAAAGCTGTTGCTAGCCCTACGGATGAGGAACATGGATGGCTCAAAACAAACAAGCCAGCCTCGTTGGGGTTGGTTGACTCTCCTAAGCAACAGGCGTCTCCTTCCCAGGAGAGCTTTGATCATCAGCTTGGCACGGTAGCGGAGGAGACTACTTCTGCTATTGAAAATGATGCTGATAGCATTAGCGATGCAAGGTCGGTGCTGTCGTTGGCTTTGGGGAAGAGGGCGGAGACGCCGTCGGAGTTTGGGGGAAGTATGGCTGATTCGGAGGGGACTGTTGGTGAGAAAAATGAGGAAGCTGGGCCTTCAGTGATGAATGGACTTTTGCTTGCGACAAGGTTGAAGAGGGTGGCGGGACGGTTCAGGGAGAGGAGGGAGAAGGCGGCAGCGAAGAAGAAGAGCGGGATTGCTTGGCCTAGCAGTGAGCAGGAGGAGAAGCAGAATGTGGAAGAGGAGGTTGGGAAGGAAGATGGTGAGAATCCCTTTTCTTTTGTATTATCGGATGAGAGTTGAAAAAATAAGAGAAGGGATTGAGACTAATACATGTGTAGAAGTGATGGTTGAGGTAGCTGCACCTGACAGTCGATCTTGGGAAGTAAAGGAAAATGTTGAAGAACAAGCAGTTGCGACTGATGCCCCTTACCAGCAGGCAGAGCAGACTACTCAGGAAAAGGGAGTTGCTCTTGGAACCCCTCTATCTCAGCTCACGGAGCAGCTTGCGCAAAAACAAGCTTCGGAACAACAGGAGGCAGTGGAGCAGGAAACGACCACTGCTGTTGTTCCTAGGGACCTTTCGCCCATTCCTGAGGAGAGCGCTTCTGAGCCTGAGACTGTCGCTGCTGAGGAGTCTGTTGTTGATGACTCGACTCCTGTGGAAGATACCACCCTTACTGCCGAGTTTACAACTGCGGAGGAGGTTTCTGCTCTCCCGGAGCAAGTTTCAAACGAGGAGTCCGCTGTCGAGCCTACAAAGACAAGGGAGCTCGAGGTTGCTCCCGAGCAAATACTTCCCATCGCAGAGCCTGTCAGCGCTTCAGATGAGGCTGCGGTTGAGCAATCCCCTCTTGTTTTGGGGGCTATTCAAGAGGAGCAGATCGAGGAAGAGGAGTCTGTGGCTGCTCTTGAGCCAACTGCTGAGCCCGTTGCCGAAGAGGCCCAGGTTGAGGTTGTTGAAGAGATTGCTCCGGTCGACAAAGCTCCTGCCGAAGAACCCGCTGTGGCCGAGGCTGAACACCGCGCAACGGAAGATCCCGCCACTGCTATTGCTGAGCCTTTGCTCGAGACCGCTGTTGCTGCTCCAGAGAGTCTTGTTGAACCTGAAGTCCCTGTTCGGGTTGAACTGCCAGTTGCCGATATTGGAGAGCCAGCTCCCACTTTTGAAAAGCCATCGACTGTTCCAGAGGAGATCATCGCTCCTTCGGTTGAAGGGGTCACTCCAGCTGTCGAAGTCAACATTCCTGCGCTTGAACAGAGCATCATCAAGCTTGATGACAGCACTCCTGAAACTCAGGACCAAGAATCAGTCGTTGGCCGCAATATCTCTTTGGATGCAGAGCCACAGCTTGAGCCCGAGGTCGTTCCACTTACGCAAGAGGCGGAGTTGTCAATAAGTGAGCCTGAGCTCACTCCTGCCATCCAGATCGCTCCCGAAGCCCAGCTAGAACCCGCCAGCGCCGAGGTTGTGGAAGATGTCCCAGAGCAATCTCCCGCCGCTATCAAGCTCGAAGCTGAAGTCGGCTCTGCCGTTACCGAACATGAGCAACTCCAACACCGTATAGATGAGCTGACGGAGGCGATGTCAATTCCATTGCCAGTAGAGGTCGAGGACAGTTCAGATCTTGTTCCAGTTGCTGAGCCTGAGCAACGACAACCTGAGTTCGATGAATTTGCGGAGGCTATCTCAATCCCATTGCCAGAAGACCTCGAGTCAATCTCTGAACCTACTCTGGTTGCTGAAGTTGAGCAACCGCGACTTCAACAAGATGAATTGGCGGAGGCTTTGACAACTCCGTTGCCAGATGAGGCTGAAGAGATCTTTGATCTTACTCCAGTTGCTGAATTCGAGCAAGCGCAAGTTCGACTGGATATATGGGCGGAGGCTTTGACTGTTCCACTGCCTGAAGACTCCAAGTCAAAGGTTGAGGTCGAGGCTGATACTCCCCCAGTGATGGCTTCTGATGACGTTCGGGCTGTTGCTGTCGTTGAGAAGACTGCCCCGGTCGCGGTTGAAGAGCTAATTCCCACTGTCGATGAGTCAGCTCCTGTTGTTGAAGAGCCAATTTTTATCAGCGAGTCTGAGCAAGCTGTTGATGTCACGCCCACTCCTGCTGAAACGTCTGTTGAGGAAAAATCTCCCCTGCCGGAGAAGTCTGTCTCGGTCGCTGAAGACATTGCGCCCGCTTCGGAAGAGCCAATCAATCTTCTTACTGCCGATGAAGAGTCTGCTCCAAAGCCAGACTTTGATAGGGAGCTCGCCTTCGCCGCTGAGATTGCTCTTCCAGAGGCCACAGCTGACGAGATCGAACTGCCTGCTACACCACCCGGACAACTCTCAGTCGACCAGGATCTCGTTTGGGCAACTGAGACCCCTCTGCCAGAAGACACAGCTGATGAAGTCGAACTACCTGTTACCCCCGTAGAAGAGCTCTCGGGGGGTCAAGGTTTCGCTTTGGCAGCGGCAACCCCTCTTCCAGATGTCACCGAGGATGAACTGGACCTGGTGCCTACACCAACTATAGAGTGCTCTGTGAATCAGGATCTCGCTTTAGCAACTGAAACTCCCTTTCCAGAAGTCACAGAGGATGAACTCGAACCAGTTTCTGTGCCAGCAGTTGACTCAGTCCCAGTGCACGAAGAGATTTATACTTTTCGCGAGGTTCTTGCACCAGAGACTAAGGAGATCGCTCTTCCTACTGTTGAAGAGCTGATCTCCACTGTTGTCGAAGAGGCTGCTCCTGCTACTATCGAGGAGTCAGTGACAGTCTTGGCTGAAGAGTCTCGGTCTGAGGTTCAACCTGTGGCCACTGTCGAGACAGTTGAAGGGCCTTTGGAAGTTTCTGAGATGCCCGTCGTTGAGGAGCCGGTCGTTCAAGGGCCTGTCCTTGAGAAGGTTATCGTCGAAGAGGTTGTTGAGGAAGGACCTGCAGCTATTGAGAAGCCTGTTGCTATGGCTGAAGAGTCTGCGGCTGCCGTTGATGAGCCTGCTGTTGTCGTCAAAGAGATGCCAGTCCCTGAGGAGGCTGTCGCTACTGTCGAAGAACCCAAAGTTAACATCCAGGAACCCGCCATTGTTGAAGAACCCGCCGTTGCCAGAGAAGTTCCGGATTCTGAACAGGTTTTGATCCCCGAAGCCACCAATATGGACGAAGAGGTTCTCGTTCCCGAGGAAGAAGTCCCGGTGGAATCGCCAAGTCTCCCTGTCGTCGAGACAGCTCCTGAGGAACCTGCTTCAACTCCAGCCCCTGTGATCGAAGAGACATTCGAGTTGCCAGCCAAGAAGAAGAAGGGTGAGAAGAAGAAGAAGAAGAAGGCCGCAGAGAATGAAGCTGAGATTCTAGGTGTTGCATCTTCAGCTAGCATCGAGGAGTCGACGCCAACAGTACCGGATCTGACTGTTGAGCCGACAATTGAGGAGCCGACAATCGAGGAGCCGACAATTGAGGAAACTATGATCGAAGAATCAACACCCGAAGAACCGACAATCGAGGGGCCCTCTGTTACAACGCATGAGTCCGTTGAGCCCGTCATTGCCACTCCAGCGGTCGAAGAGGCCATCGTTCTAGCATCTCAACAGTCTACGGCACGCGGACTACCATTACTCGAATATGTCCCTGAGCCTATCGAGCCATCGGTTCCAGCAATCCAAGAGGTAACGAAGCCATCCAAAAAGTCCAGGAAGAAGAAGAAGAAGGGTTCCAAAGCCGGTAGTTCCGAGCCTACTTCTACCATTGCAACGCCTTCCCAGGAATTCAGCAATCCTCTTGAGCCCACAGTCGAAGAGCCCTTTCTTATGCCCAAGTCACAGGATGAACCCACCGAACCAATGACTGTCAATGAGCCAAAGTCTTTTTTATCCGAGGCAACGGCTGTACCGCTTCCGGAGTCCGACACAGAGGATGAGCCAATCCCCGCTCCTGAGCCAGAGGTCACCAAGCCTTCTCCAGTGATCGAGGAGTTCGATGCTTCTGACGCTGCTCTGTCGGAGCTTCCGAAGGCTCTCGATGTCGAAGGTGAGCCTGCGACCTTGACAGCCCAGCAACCCAAGGCTTTCGAGGCAGTTGGTATTCCCGAGGAGACCACGCCCATTGTTAAAGAACCAGCCTCAGAAGCACTTGTTCCTGAGCCATCAACAGACAAGCATTCAGTGGGCGCTGTTGAAATTGAGCCTGCGCAAGAGGTGATTCGGCAACAATCCAAAGCTGAACAACTCCCTGTTGCTGCTTCGCAGCCCGAGGTGATTGATGGACCAGTTTTGGAGAAGCAAACCATTGAGGCAAACGCTCTTGTTGTCGACCCCGTTCAAGAGCTGAGTCAAGATCGCTCATTGGAAATTTCAAACAACACTCCTTCTTCACCCACACTCGACCTGGAAGTTGAGATGCAGACGGAAACTTTGCCTGACGTTGAACCACCTACCGTCGCCGCTTCTCCGGCCGAGTCTATCGAGCTGGTTCCGCTTGCCCCTGAGGAGCTTGTTCAAGAACCCAGTCAAGACCATTCTTTGGACATTTCCCAGACTTCTGAAATCGAGGATGCCCCCCTTGCTGTTCCTCAACCTGATACTACTGAGGAGCAAGCCAGTCCTGTCGTCGAAGAGATCGTTAATTTGCCAACTCAGCTTGGGGTTGCGATATCTTCTCGCAGCATTCCACAGACCGAGCAAGAGGTCGAGGTTCCTGCCGTGGCTGAGCCTACTCTTATCGAGGATCCTCTTGAGACATCTGACAAGGCCGAGATCGCCCCTTCCATCGACTCTCCCGTCTCGATTGAGGAGCAGTCTATTCCGCCTGAGACAGCTGAGCGCAGCGTTGCTCTTTCAGAAGAACCGATCACCGAATTCAGGCAAATTTCAGCCGAGCAGCAAGATGAAGTCTTCGTGCTCCCTGTCGTCGAGTCCAAGAAGCAAAAGAGAAAGAAGAATAAGAAGAAGGGCAAGAAAATCGAGGTTGAGAAACAGCCTGAGTCTTCTTCTGAGGTCACGCCTGCTCCTGGGCCCTCTTCTGGGACTACACTGGAGCGTGCTCTAGAGCCTACTTCTGATCTTGTCATTGCTCCAGCTGCGGAGTCCACCCCTGAGATTTCTGTTCAGCTTGTCAAGGACCCTTTCGACGACCCTGTCCAAGAGCCTACCACAGCCCTCGAGGTCGCTCCTGTCCACTCGACTAGAGAAGCTGAAGTCGCTGAAAAGCCAATCGATCGCCAGCTTCCTGTTGAAGAGCCACTTATTCAGCAACCCGAGTCTAAAGTTGGAGACTTTGGTGATGAAGAATTCTTCCCCTTGCCAACAAAAAAGTCAAAGAAGAACAAGAAGGGAAAGAATGTCCCCGCGGTGATCGACGATCATGACGGCGGCTCTGGTGTCACTACGCCGCTGATCATCGAGGAGCAGAAGCATGCACTTTTTGCTGCTCCTGAAGCTCACACTCCTCTAGTTGAAAAGGCGTCAAATGGTTCTCCAGATGAGGCAATTCTTGTGGAGGAACGCGGCTCTGCTGTTGGTGGTGCTTCGATTGAGGAATCTCCGGTTCCTGAAGAGACGCCAGTCACCGAGACACCTACCGTGGAAGTTTCGGTTGTTGAGACTTCTGACGAGGAGACACCCTCTGTCGAAGACGCTCCAATCGTTGAAGTTGAAATTCTAGACGCCGAGACGGCTCCTGTGGTGGAGGTGGACGTTGTCGAGGAGATTCCCACTGTGGAGCAGGAGCCTGTGTATACAGAGGTTCAAGAGCCTATTGTTATCAACATGGAGGAAGAGCCCATCACCATCGCTTTGCCCAAGCCTATCAGCAGACCACAGACACCCGACATGCTCACTCGCGAGGCTGAGGTGACGCCTCTTCCTCCCAGCAGACCACAGACTCCCGTTCTTGAGAAGGTGGCTGTTCCTTTGCCCTCAACTCCCGCCAGTCAACAACAGGCCGGCAATCATACCGTTGTAACTCCCGCGCCTGTCACTAGAGACTTGGGCTTGCTTCCTGAGATCTCTTTACTTCCGCCAATTAGCCTTGAGAGAACACCCCCGCGGAGTGTCAAAGAGCAAGTCGATCTCACTCCCGCTCAAGAAAGCAGCCACATTTCGCATGATCCACCGCTTGCGAGTACGAAGGACGGCGCAAAAAGGTCAAGACAGTGGAGGCAGAGCAAGTTGAACTTGATGAGCCTGCTGAACCCGCCGGTGCTGAGGTTGATGAGAGCTCTAACAAGGGGAAGAACAAGGAGGAGGCTGTTGTTGCGGCGACCGCACTTGCAGGTGGCGTTTCGTTGTTCGACAAGTTAAAGGAGAAGGAGAAGGAGGAGTGGAGAGTGATGGGGGATGCAAATATCAGTGTGTTGACTTCAGGTTGGGACGATATGGGGTCTGTGCTGGGTGGTGCACCGGTTTATGAGGAGTATGACGAGAAGGGAAAGAAAGTGGTTGGGAGCTTGTACGATGAGGAAGATGAAGATAAAGTTGAAAAGAAGGCAAGGAGATCATGGAAGACTGAGGCTGGACTGGGGAGGATGGATTCAGAGACGATTCCCAGGTCAGTTAGGGAGTTGTCCAAGGCGAAGACAGAGGATACATCAGAGAGGGGGAGGAAGATGGAGCGTGGGAAGAGCTCGCCGTCGCCAGAGCCTGTGCAGCGGTCGTTCTCTTTCCCGGATGATATTGCTGATGAGGAGGCATTCGAGACACGCGATACCACGGGTGATGAGAAGAAGGAGCATGTCCGGGAGATGGTTCCTGTGGCAGACCAGCCTGTCCGGCTTCCACGCATGTCTAGCTTTGGGGACTTTATGCGATCTCATGCTAGTCTGCCGCCGGTTCAAGAGGAGCTCTCGGAGGAGGATGAGCCCAAGAAGCAAGAGACGCCTGTCCGGCTCAACACACCGGCACATCATGCTCTACGAGACAGCGGTCTTGGAGGAGAGTCTCCCCGTGTTTCTCGAGGTCTCCAGCCTGGTGAGACGGAGCATCTCCGTGACAGCGGTGTTCACCTCACACCACGCAACAGCACCGAGGTGGAACGCCAACAAAAGAGACGCTCACCATTGGGCGGAAGTGTTCGCCTGTTGGAGCCTTCACCGCCCCCTCACACGCCTGAGCCAGAAAAATCAGCGGTTGCATCGGCTGTTCCCAGCAGCAGTAGCGCCAAGCGGATTGGGCCCAACACCAGCCTCCGCACGCCTGAGCCGTTGCGGCCTGACAGCCCAGGCAGTGTCGGGAGCATCCGGTCGCACAACACTGCAACCCCCCCGCTCCGACGAATGGACAAGCGAACCAGTGGGAACTTGCGGTCAGGCACGTCTAGCCAAACAGAGCTAGCCGCCAAGGCCCGCGAGCAGGGACACGGCCAAAATTCATCCTCAACGGACCTCTCCCCAGCCATCGCTATCACTGGAGCTGCCGCACTGGGAGCCCTGGCCGCTGCTACCACCACCACTACCACCTCAACAGGCTCATCGTCCACATCTCCGCCCATTGCGAATGAAGGTCGCACCCGTGCCGCCAAGGACATGTCTGATGTCTTTGTGAGTTTTATCCCCTGTCACTATTTTCATTATTCACTCTGCTAATCATGTTGTCCCGTCGACAGGAGGCTTATGGAGAGGGCCGAATTGGCTCTCCACGCTCACCGACCCGTCCGCACAGCATGCGTCGCCGCCAAAGCTTGCAAGTAATTGAGCTCGAGGCCCGCGTCGAACAGCTTATACATGAAAACCAGCAGCTGGCAAACGGCCGCGCCCAAGCCGAATCCCAGCTGGCCCGCGGGAGCCTCTCCTCCGACAGCGACCGCGAATATGAAATCGAGCAGCTCAAGCGCGCCCTCAACGAAGCCAATGGCGTTATCGAGCGATTAAAACAAACCAATGAGGGCCTGCGCAACTCTACCTCTGCCATCGCCATCCAGCACCACGAGGAGGTTCGTCGCTACGAAGCCCAACAAGCTCAGGCCGCCAAAGAACTTCAGAAACAAGCGCGATCTGCCAAGGAAAAAGATGCCGAGATCGCCCATCTCCGCACCCAACTAGAGGCCTCGACCGAGGAAATCAAGAGGCTCCAGCAGCAGATTCTCGAGCAGAGCAGAGCCAGCGTCGACTCTGACTTCCTCGACGTCCGTGACATTGACTACTTTGACCATCGCTGCCAGCAGTTGTGCGCCCACGTCTCGCAATGGGTGCTCCGCTTCTCCAAGTTCAGCGACATGCGCGCATGTCGCCTGACGAATGAACTCAGCGATGAGAAGCTGATTGACCGTCTCGACAATGCCGTCCTTGACGGCTCCAATGTCGACACTTACCTCAATGACCGCGTCCGCCGTCGTGACATTTTCATGAGCATGACCATGACCATGATCTGGGAATTTGTCTTCACGCGGTATCTCTTCGGCATGGACCGTGAGCAACGCCAAAAGCTCAAGCACCTTGAGAAGCAGCTCATCGACGTCGGACCTCCCCACGCTGTCCGACAGTGGCGTGCCGTGACATTAACGCTCTTGTCACGCCGTCCAGGTTTCAAGAGGCAGCGGGATCAGGACACAGAGGCGGTTGTCCAAGCCATCTTGGACACTCTCGCCAAAATACTCCCTCCCCCTTCCAATCTGGAGGACCAAATCCAAGCCCAACTTCGCCGGGTAGTCCGTGAGGCGGTCGGGCTAGCAATAGAGATGCGCTGCCAAAGAGCAGAATACATCATGCTCCCTCCTCTCCAGCCCGAGTACGACGACGCCGGCGAACTCGTCGAAGACGTCAAGTTCAACGCCGCCCTCATGAACGACGGCGGACAGTCCAATCTCACCAATGAGGAGCTCGAATCGACGGCTGCCACCGTCCGGGTGGTGCTGTTCCCGTTGGTGTTGAGAAAGGGGGATGACGAAGGGAGGGGGGATGACGAGATTGTTGTTACACCTGCGCAGGTTCTGGTTGCGAGGTCGGCGTATGCCTCGCCTGCCACGCCTACGCAGAGCATAAGGGGGAAGAATGTGAGGTTGTTGACTCCGATTAGTGATGCTGGTGGGGGGGCGAGCGTTGGGGGACGGAGCCCGAAGCAGGAGAGGGGGGTTATGGGGCCGCCGCCGCAGCCGGGGTTGAGGGGGCAGGGGAGTGATGTTAGTATGGGGGATCATGGGGGGTATATTTAGGGAATGAAAGAAGGGTGGAAATG